TCAGAATGCTTCCACGCCTCAATCACGAGAAAGCTATCATTCTCTGGAGTTTCATCTGGAAGATCAGGAACATCTTCCTTGATGAACTTCTGTAGACATAACGTAGTCAAGTAGAAGAACATCTTTTGCTGCCAGCGCTTGAAATCCATCCCGGAAAATTTTCTGGGTTTCTTTGCCGGTGCCAACGCCGGAGTTCGACTTGTCGATGCGTTGGCAGTCATCATCGGAACAGCTTGATTTCAGTCATTCGTCATTTTTACTGTAAAAATGATACAAACAAACGTTTAATAAACGTTTAAAACTGGAGTGAAAAATTACGTAGATTTTAATCTCCAACAAAATGCCACGAAGTCTTTACTCTCTAAACGGGAGTACACAAAACCACAAAGGTTTTAAGTTTCCAGAATAATAAAAGTAACACAAATACAGAAATTAAAATTATTAAATTCCTTAAGGTGGTTGTTGTTGTTGTTTCCTGTATAGTACTTCTTATCTGGTATAAATATGGAATGATGGAAGATCAAGTTTTAACTTTTCCACTCTTAGATATATATTATCCTCTTTATCAGCTACCTACAGCAGTAACATACGTAAATATAAATGATATAACTGAAACAAAAATTAATTCGAGCCCACTGAATTCACAGTGTTTCCTTAAGGAATTTAATCCCCTCCTAGTACCCAAGGTTATGGATTATTTCCTCCCAGGATAGAACGAATTACACACTGGTGTAGCGGTACTTCAAACCCCAGTATTTCAGCGAACGCAAAGTTCGGCAGCAAATCACACTTACAGTTGCTTTGTTTGTAGTTTTAAAACAATGCAGAACAAGGGAGGAGAACTCAGAAGTCAAATGGAAATTCTGAGGAAGGAATGCAATGTATAGCGGATGTTGAATTCTTACTGAAGAGGATATCAGATTACAATTCGTTTTTCCAGTGTATACACAGTGTATACAGAGTGTATATCAATTGTATATTGAGTGTTTCAAGTGTTTTTTTCCGGTGTGTTCTTCTTTCTCTACAACTTCTGCTCTATTTATAGCAGTCATGTGAGAGAAATCCGCCCCTACATGGTGGAACAAGCATTAGGATATCATGGAGGAAGCACTTACATGGTGGAATGAACACTTGCTTGGTGGGAGGAGCACTTGGCCATGGTGGGAGGTGCACTAGGCATCTTGTTGCTTTCTTGGTGCAACACAATACACGGATTGGAAAACATCCGTTACAAACACGGATTATATCACGTTAATATTCACTATTAACAAATAAATTTGGTCCAAATAATTAATCAATCGATCGATCATTTGATCAAATCCGAATCCAAATCCAAATCCCATTTCCCATTCACTCTCATTTTAAGACTATTTCATCTTAAACCAAAACTCAACAATCCAAAACTCAACAGAAGGTACATTATTTACTTCCACTTAGTTGTATCAGTAAACTATACATGTGGTATTTATCACTGTGCTTATCAATCTTTCTATGAGGCATAATATGTGTTTTTGGATTGAATTGCTGGATTATTTTTGCATTGACTTTCTGATCTTTTAGGTTATGTTAAAGTATGAATGTTGAATTAAATTCGTAAGATTTAAAGAAAACTATAATCAAGCATGTGTGTGCTTACAATGGAACACGGGGGTGCACAAGGATGATAAGAAGAAAATGGAATGACGAATGAGAGAAAATGAAAAGTGATGCTGAACCAACTTATATATTTGATAGAATTCAAAGAAGCTGCGGCGAAATTGCTTATTAGTACATAACTAGGCTGCAACGAGAGTGAATCTTTTTACTTTATTTATTTCTACTATATTTATTTATCAAATGACATGATTTACCACTATATAGGTTGATATAGTCAAAGGAGAACTGAAAACCAGCATTTATAGAGAGGGGAGCTTGAACTTGAACTTCATGCCACCAAGAAACAAATGAACAATGTAAAGAGCAGTGATGCTGATCGGAAAAGTTTTTAACAACTTTACAATGTGACATGAATTCTCAAATATAAGACCCATTTAGGTTTCTAATTATTTCAATGTCTATGTGTACATGCATCTAGAGGGAAAAGGGAAAAGTCTTCAAGAAGTGAGTGAGCGAATACAATGATCTATTATTACACCTCAATGATATAGGTTAAAATTTTATTGTCGTTGATCTATTATTACACCTCACCAGTTTGTTACTATTAACTATTATATTCCGAACCTTTTCTCAGATGGAGAATGTTGATCACAAGAAGAGGATCCTTATCAAAAATCATTAGAAGAGGGTCATCGAAATAAAGAAGTTGTCCAGTCAGAAAAACCTCCAACATCATTATAATTTAAGGTTAGTACTTTTGTAACAAAACTTAGACTTACCATACTCTCAGGATCATCCTTCATAAAAATGTTATTTTTCGCAACAGCACTCATCCTCATTGGTTTTTTATATACATCACAGGAAGAGAATAATTTATTGAAAAATTAGAATTATGACCTTGTTAAGCTGCATAAACTGAAGCAATTCATTGGAGAGTCAGGGAAGACCTGGCTTACTTCCGTCAAACTAATCCTCTATATATATTAATAGAGCAAATATTGGAGAACAAGTTGAAGGTTAGTTCTTTTTAGAATTTAATTGTCTAGGAGGAATTTCAATGTGACTTTGAGACATGATTCAAATGTTTCATATTTGTTGATACATTTAACCGTGCACTTTTAGTTAATTGCAGTTCATTTTATCAAAAGTCACATCATGTGGTACTACAGAAGAAAGCTGGTTCTTCTTTCCTATCACGCACCAGAGAAGAAGTGAAGCAATTGCTACTTAGCTTGAGGGCAAATGATGTTGGCGTTGTAATTTGAGAATGGAACATTTAGGAAATACTTCCTTATCTTAAGGCGTAATGGCTTCCTTATCTTAAGGCCACTTAAACTTGCATCAGTTTTAAAAGCCGATACATGAACTTGCACTTTTCCCATTTGAACGCTCCAACTTGATTCAATAAATACTAATAAACACATTTGACCGTTGACTATGCCTATGTGGAAGCGGCACAGCTGGCATGGCTAAATTGTGTGCATATCACGCTACAAAGGCGCGTGGATAGTCATTATTTTTATTAAAAAAGAAAAAAATGACCTTTCCCTTTCCCTTCTATTTTTCCCTCGTCTTCCCTGCCAAACTCCCACCTCCCCTTTCCCCCTCCCACTTCTATTCTACCATAGCCACTTCTAGCAAAACATAGAACACAACCCAAACAAAGGAAAAAGCTCAGAACCTTAGCACACCTCCCACGCACTCGCATAACTCCTTCCAAGATATCAACAACAAACTCCAATAACCATGGGAAGTAAAATCGGAGCTTATGTTTACAGTCTCATTCAACAGTAAATTGGTGGACCACCCTTTAGTATTGTGAGTGAGGTTGCTGATGAGATATTGGCCGTGTTAAAAGACGGCAGAACCCTGAAAAGAAATTGGAAATTGAAAAGCTGTTAAACCCTATTTCGGACTAGGTGTTTGATAAGTTGGTGTCAAATGAGAAACTCATCACTGACTACCAATTAGATGGTTGCGATGATGGCGATAAAGCTCTTGATTATGATGTTAGTGTAGTAGTTGAGTTTGAGGAGAATGAAGACGAAGAAGAAGATGAAGAGAGTGAGCTTGATGATGAAGAGGAGGATGATGTTGTGCTGGAAGCCGATGGTTCTGGCGCTATGCAGATGGGCAGTGTCATTGAGGAAGATGAGATGCAGGAGGTGGATGGAGGAATGACTTTGAATGTTCAGGACATAGATTGTTATTGGCTTCAAAGAAAGATTTCTCAAGGTTATCAGGAAGCTTATTATTTAGGCTGGTATATCAGAACTCGATTGAACTTCAGTCTTCATTATCGGAGCTTATATTTACAATCTCCATTATCGGAGCTTTTGTTTACAATTCGTGAAGAAGGGAAAGAGAAGAAAAAAATAAAAATTTAATAAATTAATTTTGGAATAGGACAGGGTCCACAAATTGGGACCTTGAACATATAGGTGTCAACAAAATGTGAATGAATGGATGATGTGGCTATATAAAATATTAAATTAAATCCATGTTAGCAGCAATTGAACAACACGCACCATCAAAAATGTTTATTAATAGTCATTTTTTCAAGTAAAGGTGTTCAAATGGAAAACTCAAAAATTTATATATCGACTTTACAAACTGATGCAAGTTTAAGTGGTCAGGAAGTCGTTTCGCCTTATCTTAATGTTAAACTTCAAACATTTAGGAAATACTTTGTGATCTCAAAACTTACCAGAATGTTAAACTAGAAATGTTTGAAGTATCTTATATGATCGAGTAATTGAGTTAGTTGCTTATCCATTCTCAAAGTTCATTTACATGCCTTTTTTTGCACACACTTATTACATGCTCAGAAAAAAGTTTGGTTCTGAATACACAAATGTTGAAGTAAAATGTTGTTTAAAGTAATTGCTTTAGTGGCGAGAGGAAAAATACTTCAGGCACCCGGGCGTAGCACGGGCACGCCCATCTAGTCATACAATATTTATGTAATTTTAGCAGCATCTTTTTTATTTCAAAAAAATATTACTCGTAATTTCTAAATTCATCTTGAAGATTAAATAATTTAATCGTCATGCTCCAAAATTCGTCATTTAGATAGTAAAGAAATACCCCTACTCCACTTGCGATACATAGGAAGTTAGTAGAGATAAAATTTTGGCAGATTGGATAGATTATCATTAAAACGTCCAACTGTTTTCACGTATTTACCCCTCAAACTTTGAGCCAAAAAAAAAACAAAGCAACATCAGCTTTTTTACCGTTTAGTGAGAGCATTACGCTTCTCGAGGGAAAAGCTGTTAGTAACAATTGACGGCTCGCTCAGTCCACTCTCCGTCTGCCCGTCTCCTATATAAAGACTAAATTCTCATTTCACACTAACTTCGACAAACACGCCATTTTCCTCGCCCGATTCTCTAAATCCTCTCTCCAGTTAGCTATGGCGATCCGAGCCGCGATTTCCGGTCGTCCCCTCAAGTTTAGCTCGTCGGTCGGAGCGCGATCTTTGTCGTCGTTGTGGCGAAACGTCGAGCCGGCTCCTAAAGATCCTATCCTCGGCGTTACCGAAGCTTTCCTCGCCGATCCTACTCCTCATAAAGTCAATGTTGGTGTTGTAAGTTTTTTTTTCTCTTTGCTTTGTTTGATTTTCCACTTCATTTCGTGTAAGCTAGGATTTAGCTTACTTGACCATTTCGCTATTCTTCATAGGCCATAGCTGTAAAAATGGTTTTACTGTGACGAATCTTCGACGATCTCAATCGCTTTGGGATTGGGAGAGAGTTTATTGATTTAATTTTTGTATGCATTCCACTTTTTTCAACTTGATCTATTTAAGAAAAAAATTGAAAAAGATTTGACCTTTTTTCTTAAATTATTTCTTTTAAATTTTTTATTTTTGTGATTATTATATAGGGAGCTTACAGAGACAACAATGGAAAACCCGTGGTACTGGAGTGTGTTAGAGAAGCAGAGCGGAGGATCGCTGGCAGTTTCAACATGTGAGTGCTCTCCTGATTTATTCAAGTTTTTCTGTTATTTTATTTGTAATTAATTACGATTACGTTAACTTTGATCTATTAGAAAATAGAAACTTCAGCCAGTAAGATTACTTTTTTTCTTCGAGGAGTGTGAGATGTAAACCCAGGTCGGATGCACTGGAATTCTTCACTAGTTTGTGCAAATATATTCTTAATATTTTTCAAAAACTTCCTGTGTACACACACACATACATGTAATTAATTAAGTAATTACCTACTGATCTAGGATTTTTAGGTAGTTCGGAAAAATATATTTTCAATATCGTTTAAGAATTTTCTGGGTATGCGTAGTTTGAGTATGATAAAATGGGTGCATGTGCACCACTGCTTACGCTAGGGAACAGCCTCTAATTAGCTGTTGGTGAGTCTGGTGAGTGGTGACTGTTCTTTATTTTCAGTTACTTCGCACATTGTTGGTTTTTGATTAAGTATAAATAAACGAATGTTTTAGTGAGTGCTTATTTCTATGAAGCATCTTTTTTAGGTCTACAGAAATGGGTGGTACGATATTTTCCAGCCGTCAGCTCCACTAACCAGTTTGATTCTTTGGGACTTTTTCTTTGTATTCTCACGTTTACTTCTAGTGGATGGTGCAGATGGATTTCTTTACTAATTCTTTCTTCTGCGTTTGCAGAGCTTTCTCCCAAGATAAATTATTAATATCAAATTGACCTTTCGATAGTTCAATGGTGTTTAACTTTTTCAAATATTGCCCATTTTATATTATGAAGTTTGAAAGTTTAACTAGACATGTTGTAATAAATTTTATTTGACTTGTGTATTTTATTCATTGTGGTTGGAGAAAGTATTAAAATAACAAGTGAAAAGTCTGTTTTACGTCAAGTTTGAATTTGAATTTTTGAATTGATTTGCTTCTTTAAGTTTATGAAACCATCTATGAGAATATTATTGGCACTCCATTGTCTCATTTTATGTGAAGGCATTTGACGTTGCACAAAATTTAAAAATATAAAGAAACTTATGACGTGTAAGTTAGATATATGCAGAGTACCATAGTTATCCTTTTAAGTAAGTGATAGTGAGAGTTTCACATTTCTTTTTGTTCTCTCTTCTTATAAAAGAATGAATTTTTGTATCCCAACAAGTCATATCATTAATGTTAACACGGGGATACTAAGATTAACTAATGTCTAAAAAGAGAAAGATTTCATTCTTCTTGGACAGGCTAAAAAGGAAAGTATGTCACATAAAATGAGACAGAGATATGTTAGGATTTGTCCTGAATTTCTAATCAATTAGGACTCTCTTTCTTGAAGGAATGGAAAAAGACTCCTAAAAGGATTAAATCTCCTTAATATGTCTTATCCTTTTCTTGGAAGACAAGTTTTGCACATCTATAAATTAAGGATCTCTGCTTTTCACAAGAACACAAAAAAAAAATATCCACAATGTAGTTATTAAAGAGTTTGTTTAGGGGGAGATTTTTCTCTCGATAGTTTTTCTTCTTTTATATTAGTTTTATCATATGTAGATCAATTGACCAAATCATTATAAACTATTATGCTTAGTTTAATATATTTTTCTTTTGTTGTCTGATTTATCGTCCATCAAGTTTTGTATTGTTAGTTTTCGCATGCACCATGTTATTTCGAACCCAACAAGTGGTATCAGAGCCAATGGTTCAGAGTCAACGGTTGAACGAGGTTGAAGAAAGATTCAATGCGTGTTTAGATCAAGACGATAATGAAGATTTATTCAACATGCTACATGTGGAGATAAATTTACAATTACAATTGTATTCAACACGCCTGCTGTTGCATCTTTATTGGAATAAAAACTCTTTCTAACCCATATTTTGGCCACTTTAAACCAATGCCAATTTTAAGTCATGCCTACTTGCAACACATGAGTTCCAGTGCCAGTTTTAACTCACGCTTCTTTTTAATGCATGAGCTTCTTTTATCCCATGTTTATTCTTAACACGCGGGCTCCTTTTAACCCATACTTGGTTTTTTTTTAACCAATACCAAGATTTTCAATTTTTAATCATGGCAAGCAGCAGTGATGAAGATTATGTGAAGAAGGTGAATCAACTTTGTCAAGAAAATTCAGGCCAAGGGGAGATTGTTAGGATTTGTCCTGAATTTCTAATCAATTAGGACTCTCTTTCTTGAAGGAATGGAAAAAGACTCCTAAAAGGATTAAATCTCTTTACTATGTCTTATCATTTTCTTGGAAGACAAGTTTTGCACATCTATAAATTAAGGATCTCTGCTTCTCACAAGAGCACAAAAAAAAAAATATCCACAATGTAGTTATTAAAGAGTTTTGTTTAGGGGGAGATTTTTCTTTCAATAGTTTTTCTTCTTTTATATTAGTTTTATCATATGCAGATCAATTGACCAAACTATTATGCTTAGTTTAATATTTTTTTTTTTTGTCGTCTGATTTATCGTCCACCAAGTTTTGTATTGTTAGTTTCCGCATGCACCATGTTATTTCGAACCCTCGTATAAGTTTGTCAAACATTTTGTGACTTCCTAAACTAGAAAGTGTCTTGGGATGGGGGAGAACTACGCTATCTGATCTCAAAAAAAGTGTGCATCATGTGATACTATGTGGATAGTTTAGTTCACATGTTGACAATTCATCATTTATCAGGGAATATCTTCCTATGGGAGGTAGTGTCAACATGATCGAGGAGTCACTGAAGTTAGCCTATGGGGAGAACTCAGACTTGATAAAAGATAAGCGCATTGCAGCAATTCAAGCTTTATCCGGGACTGGAGCATGCCGAATTTTTGCAGACTTCCAAAGGCGCTTTTGTCCTGATTCACAGATTTATATTCCTGTTCCTACATGGTCTAAGTAAGTGTATTCTTCTGCTTCTCGGCATCTCTACAGCATCCTAATTGATCTTCCTCAATTGGTTTTTGCACTTTAAAACATGAGTATGCAAATACCTTCAAAATTTTCTAATTTCCTGTCATTACTAATATAAAGTTCTTGGCAGTCATCATAACATTTGGAGAGATGCTCATGTCCCTCAGAAAATGTATCATTATTATCATCCTGAAACAAAGGGGTTGGACTTCGCTGCACTGATGGATGATATAAAGGTAAGAAAACATATATTTGAGGTTGTTTGCCATGATGGTTGGTTCTCCTGTTTGATGATATAGTGTCCCTCCTCAAGTGGCAATTATGTGTTCTATCCTGACGTATTTCAATTTTCATTGACATAGAATGCCCCAAATGGATCATTCTTTCTGCTTCATGCTTGCGCTCACAATCCTACTGGGGTGGATCCTACAGAGGAACAATGGAGGGAGATCTCACACCAGTTCAAGGTAATGATTTGTATGTTTTGTCTCTCCCTTTTCTTGTCATAAGTCATATTAAATTTATTACACTGGTTCCAGGTGAAGGGACATTTTGCTTTCTTTGACATGGCCTATCAAGGATTTGCTAGTGGGAATCCAGAGAAGGATGCTAAGGCTATCAGGATATTTCTTGAAGATGGTCATCCGATAGGATGTGCCCAATCATATGCAAAAAATATGGGACTATATGGCCAGAGAGTTGGTTGCCTAAGGTAAACTACTACTCCCACCATCATATCTTATTTGCCCTAGTTACAATCTGGAGAGTCAAACAAACTTTTTATTAGACCATAGTTGGTCTATTTTTCAAATGATCTAATTCCAAAAGCAGTTACTACTATTTCATGCAAATTCTAGATTAATTAACCTTTTGCTATACCTCATTATCTTCATTTAGTAGGCAGTAGCTAATTTTACCATATATCATATTTTTCATATAATCAATATGTAGAGTTATTTATTTATTTATATATTTTAAATTTATTTAGGATAAATTTTGTTCTTTCCGGTAATTTCAGTTCATTTCCACCTAAAAGTCCAACTCGAAGAGAAAAACAGAATTTTGCTAGTCAAAACTTAGATCCAATGAAAAGCACCAAAATTTTGGTTTTAAATTATAAAACATGTCTACTCTAGGTTTTTTTCCTAGGCAAGCGATGTGATTTTACAATCTTACAATAAGGCATCAATCAATCCCAAACTAGTTTGGTTCAACAATATAAATCTTTGTTCCTATTTCATGGCATTGGGCCCATTGCATTCCAATAATGGTAAATAAGACAAATTAGAGGTTATCTAAGATTAGAGATTCCTTATTAAAATCTCATACTTATATCTACATTGTCACGCAAGTCTCTGACCTTAAAAGAAGACTTCTAGCAGACACCAGACTTAACGTAAGTGTAACAACAACAACTAAGTTTTAATCCAAACTAGTTAGTATCGCTTATATGAATCCCTTGCTTCCATTGTGTAGCACTAAACAACAACAACAACATACCGAGTATAATCTCACATAGTGGGGTCTGGGGAGGGTAGTGTGTACGCAGACTTTACCCCTGCCTTGTGGAGAAAGAGAGGCTATTTCCAATAGACCCTCGGCTCAAAACCATTGTGTAGCAATGGAGGCATGAAATAGAAAACTTGTCTTCTGATTAAAATCTGTTATTAAATTAATGAGGAGAAAAAATTGGATTACTTGTTGGTAAATCTTATTTGTTGTTTTAAACACACACAAAGCCGAAAGACCTCTGATACTTTTCCTGAGATGCTTCCGCAATTCACTGCAGTGTGGTTTGTGAGGATGAAAAACAAGCAGTGGCAGTGAAAAGTCAGTTGCAGCAGCTTGCTAGGCCCATGTATAGTAATCCACCTGTTCATGGCGCGCTCGTTGTTTCTACCATCCTTGGAGATCCAAACTTGAAAAAGCTATGGCTTGGGGAAGTGAAGGTAATATGGTTAGAACAAGAAAAGATTTATGATTATATAACTATCATTGGTATTTTGACAAAAGGTAGGAACTAGGAACCTTGCTATTAAAGATATTTTCTTCCCTTTATTTTGGAAAAAAAGGTATTTTCTTGCTTTCTTCAAATGTTTGAGATTTGGATAGAGCCGTTACATGGAAATGCTGTGCAATTTTCTGCTACTCACATGGAAAAGATCTTTTTCTTTTGCTGATCTGTTTAAGCACCTATTTGCTAAAGCCTACTATGTCAGTATGTTGTTCAATCTTTTCAGCCACAGAAACAGGTCTAAACCAGTTCCAAACTTTAAATAATCTTACCATGGTAGTTTCAGCAAAGATAAATTGGTCCGTGCAGCCATTAACTGTTTTCTTTGTCGGGCTTCTTAAACTTGTTTTCTCCAAGGTCTAGTTGTTGGTGCTGTGGCTGCTTTTTAGCTTTGTGCTCATTATCAGAGCATCATATGTTTAAGTGTAAAGGTTCAATGACTAAGTTCTTTTTCCAGGGCATGGCTGATCGCATTATCGGGATGAGAACTGCTTTAAGAGAAAACCTTGAGAAGTTGGGGTCACCTCTATCCTGGGAGCACATAACCAATCAGGTATTGAAATCAACAACTTCTGTTGTTTTCTATGCTACTAGTATATAACTATTAAGAAAATTACTGTGGTTCACCTACTGCGCCATTAATACTCGATACCACCAACAGATTGGCATGTTCTGTTATAGTGGGATGACACCCGAACAAGTCGACCGTTTGACAAAAGAGTATCACATCTACATGACTCGTAATGGTCGTATCAGGTATAATCATTAGGTCACCAATTTCTGCTTAATGCTCCGGTGTTCTTGTACAGAGTTATATCTCATTATTTTTTCCACTATGTTGTGTGTTTTGTACGTGCAGTATGGCAGGAGTTACTACTGGAAATGTTGGTTACTTGGCAAATGCTATTCATGAGGCCACCAAATCAGCTTAATGTCTGAAATCATGGATTCAATTTGAATAACCAGCTGTGGAAGGCTGTGGAAACGACATCAAATGTCTGAATATCGAGATTCATTTTTTCCCTTACCGTTTTCTCTCCTTGTAGGATGGACACTGTTGAATTCCTTTTTTTCTGATGGGTGAGTGATTTGAGGAAACATGTTGTAATAGCTGAGTTAAAATAATCATACTGACAGAGGAACGAATAGGGACTTGATTCTGGGAGAATTTTGAGGTGTAGAAGCAGAGTCATTAGACATGTTGAGGTGGAGAAGTTTCTCTGTTGTATTATATGTCATTCTAGGATACATCCAGTCATATAATTAGCCCAACCCGGCACCATTTGCCATGAGGCACTGGATTAAACTCCTCTGCAGTACTATTCTAATCTTCTTATGTTATCATAATTCTAGTTTGCATCAACTGAACTTCATTTTCCTTAAAATCTCAGTTTTCTGACTTTGTTCAACATTTCAACTGTTTGAATAGAGCAGAATTCGGAAAAGCCATTTTCCAACTCTTTAAGTGTAACTGGAAAAGAGTCATGTTTAAAAAGATACACCTTTTATATAATTTAATTCAACTATTCTAAATTCATTTTGAGATATTTCTTTTCTTACCATATTTGATTTTCCTTTGAAGAAAAGGGCAACACATTTACCATAATTGGGTCTTTCTATTCTTAGAAGGAAATTATAAATCTCTCGTACTTGGCTAGTCCCTCCTCTTGGAGGAAAAACTTTGAACTTCTATAAATTGAGGATCTCTTCTTCTCATTTAGTAGCATCCGCAATGTAATGAGTTTTGTTTAGGGGGTGAATTTCAGGACAAGTTTTAGCCTACCACTTGTGTTTGCCTCTTTAAGAGGTTGTTCTCTCGATATTTTGTACTCACCTTTATAATAGATTGCTCACTCATCTCCGCTTATGGACGTAGGTCAATTGATCGAACTACGTTAAATATTTGTGTCCTTTTTTTCGTATATTTCTTGTAACCAGCAGCGGTATGGCATGATAAGTATTTGGCATCTCATTTTGTCAGCCATCCTATTAAACAGCCTTGTCGGCATTGAGTTTGCTCTAAGCGGTATTTGGATCAAACTCGCTTAAGAGCATATAGCTATTAAAAAAAAAAGCTGACATCTGCTCTCCACATACATGATTCTTCTTTAAAATGTCCAATTTATATACATGCCATTAAACTTGGACCAATTTTTCATCTTGACATTTAAATTTAGTCTTGTTCCATTTTGGCCCTCCAACTCTATTTCTTTTGTTCAAAATGATAACATGCACTCGAACCCCGTCTACACTGCCCGGTGTGCAGCTTACCGCACTGAGTACATAGAGGAGTAGGCTGTCTCATTTGTGCGGAACGCTCCTGTCGATGGTCCTCAGGCTGGCCTGAGCTCTGCCCCAGTCCTGACTGAATATAACGATCAAACCGCTGGCCCTGCATCTGTGGTGGGAAACTACCTGCTGACCGAGGTGGATATCGATGGAGTGGGGGCCTAAAGTCACCTCGTGGCTCCCTATATGACCCCATAGTACGAGCCTTCTTACTCTGCTCCCTATCCATGCGAGTATCACGAATCCGACGGGAAAGGTCCTCTATAGTCTGAGCGAAAGCCTGTATGCGGGAAATATCTACATCATCCGATAGGGATGCTACCCTACAGTCTCTAATCAGATGATCCCCCAAACCATCCACATAATTATGAACTCTAGCCCTCATGGTACGTACGATATTCGTGCATACCTTGCCAAAGAATTAAACTTATGGCTATAATCCCCCACACTCATATCCCCCTGTTTTAGGCTAAGAAATTGGTCAAGACGAGCCTCTTGAACCTCCTGTAGCAAATAATAGGCTAAAAAGCCTCAAAGAAGCCCTCTTACTCTGTTGGCGGAGCATCAGGTCCTCTAGATCTCTCCCATGCCTCATACCATAGGACGGCTACATCACGTAGTCGAAAAGAAGCCAACTCCATAGCCTCGGTGACGGAGGCATGCATCACCCTCAATACTCTATACATATGGTCTATAAAGTCATGGGGATCCTAAGTGGAACTGGATCCTGTAAATAATGGAGGGGCCAAGTGAAGAAACTCTCGTACCATCGAGCTTCCTGTCCGATCTCTTCGGGCATCTGCTCCCGACACTAGCTGTCGCTCATAAATAGAAGCCATCCTAGTCAGCAACTGAACTACCTCCCGCATCCTCTGCTCCCCAGTCTCTGATGGGGGAACAACAGGTGCTGGAGGTCCTGTGTCTCTAGCTGCCTCNAACTCTACTAGACACGACTTGTGGACTCCCTGGGATACGACCTGCTCTAATACCCACGCTCCAAACTAGGGGAGGCACGACTGGCACTCGATACTGTATTCGATCGAGTTAGCCACTAAACATACTAGCTAACTAAACTGGGGGCCCAACAGATCAGGCAGCACAACATCTGAAATACTAAGCCTGGATCATTAAGGTCATGACCTGAATAACAATAAGCCATATAAACAAAGGTAGACGAGCCAAAATAAT